TTACAAATCGACTTTAAAACGTTGAGTGAGAGAGAGAAAAGCCCAAATTATAATTGACCACAAAATTTACTCGAACTACGGTGTTACATAAATGCTCCAATAATAAAAAGAAATAAAACAAACTTTTATTTATGGTGTACATAATTTACTCAAACTTTGGTGTTACATAAATGCTCCAATAATAAAAAGAATAAAATAAACTTTTTGTTATGGTGCACATGAGTACCCATACTACAAGGAAATGGTTCCATACAACTCTATCAAATCAAGTAAAGCCTCACCTCCTAACCGATCGAAAATTATAATTTAAATATTATAAAGCCTTTGCATCAATTATCTTGTCTGTTTGTGAAAAAAAACTACATTTTAAGCTTTTAAAATAATGTACATTACAACATATTATCTAGACCGTCTAATTTCACTTTAAAAATAAATATTTATAGACCCACGAGATCTGTAATGTTTTTTTAGTTTTAAATTTTATTATCGATGTTAAAAATTGATTTTAAAGCCATCATAAGAAAAAATTGTAACCTAAAGTACTTTTGATGAAATAAGGGGAGCCTTATAAAAATCCCATCCATACGTCTACCCATATTTTTTCAAATAAAAATAGGAGGAGAGTAATAAAAGTCTGTATTCTGGTTGTTTGGTGCACGTCAACGGTTACGCAATTAATCCTAAACTGCGCCCCTCCCCTTCGATAAAACGCTAATCTGTGAGCACAAACCCACCCCCGGCTGAGAAGCCATCACTCCTCTCTGCGCGCCGCTGAGCACCCACCCCGCTGAGCACCCCTCTTTTCGCAACTTCCCATCTCGCCGCTGAGCCAGCCCAACACGCCATTATCTCAGGCAAACCTGTGATCCTTGCCATAGATCTTGAGGTATGCACTTTATTCTCTCTGTTATTGATCATTGTGTTTGTTCGTGAGCTCTTGCAGCAAAAGGCTCTTATTATTGATCTCTGTCTTTGTTCTTGAGCTCTTGAAGCTTGGAGCTCTTATACCCCATGATTTTAGGGCACAAGTTTTTTTGTGGGGTTTTCCCTCTGTTGAATCTCAATTTGGGTCTTCTTAGTTTTTTTTTTCTCTCTCTTTCTCTGTTATTTTCTCACTGTTTGGAAATTTACGCTCTCTCTTTCTTTCTGTGTTTTTTTCTCACCGTTTGGAATTTTACTCTCTCTCTGTTAATCTCAATATTAACATCTGGGTTTTCTTAGTTTTTTGGTAAATCAGTAGGGAGAGAGGAATTTAGCCTAAGACAAACCGTTGTAAATCATCAAGCGGTATTCAATTAAACTAGGGCTCTTTTCCTACAAAATCTAAATCTATGAAATACTCTAAATCCATTTTTTTAAATAATCAATTGGTGCTTATTAGATGGGTCTCAAATTTCAAATTGAAAAAGTACCTCTTTAACACAAAAGAAAGAATCAAGTTCGTTAATGATGCAAGGTCACAACAATTAATTATAAGATTTCACGATTGGGAATGTATGATAAAATTCAAAAATAAATTTTTTCAAAAGGTCACATTACCATCTAAAATATATGGCAAAGCATTATCCATCATATATAGTACAGGCCTGTTTGGATTGAAAATTAATTTCATCTGGAATAGACTATCTTATCCAAAACTAATACATGCTGGATAATATTATCTTGTTAGCTATATGGAATGTATCTTTCCTTATGTATAATATTACTTTATTAAACTCTTTCAGTGATTTCTAGCTATTTTCAGCTATGTTTGACCAAAACATGTGATTTTTTAGCAAATTACTATGAATAAAGAAAAACAAACTTTCAAAAATGTACATTTATCTGTAAACCTGCCTATAAGTTTATATCAAATAATTGTGTGATGGACACTGCCAAAGACAGCCAATTCATTATCTAGATTAATTTTTATTGAAATTGTGAATAGGAGTAACATCTAAACAAACATGTAATTGCAATGGAGCATTTCATTTCATTCATAGTATGCACACAGCAAAATGTACGTTGAATAGGTAGAATGAAAGAGTCCAGAAGATGATTAAAAGACGCATTCAAATTCATTGGAATGCAAAACTCACACCCAAAAGTTGGAACTAGCTCAGATAAGTCACATATATTAGTGACAAATATGGAATTCAAGTAGACCCTAGTTGATAATATGTCAAAATATCACCAAGATTTTAATATAGAGCCATCCAATTCCAATTGAAAAAATCAAAGCCCAAACTAAATCAGTCACAATCATACTGAACATAAACCCATAAAAACATAAATTCAAATATTAAAACACAAAATTATAAAACCCTCCAAATCTCCGTGAATCCAATTATATGGCACCACATTTTTTTCCACATATTAAGGTAACCCATAACAACCGTTAAGAGTATGATCACAGCCCCAAGCAGATTATTTAATCCAATGCCACAGGAGGACCTAACAAAGTCCGTATACAAGAAAATCCCACAATGAGAAACTTGTATTCTCGATAAAAACTTTGAACAGGTGATTTGTGAAAGTGAAGAGAACACGCAAAAACAACTTCAAAACCTCGAAAAACATCAATTGACAATACATTAAAAAAAATCATGAGTAATTTGATTTAGGAGTGTGCAGGAGAAAGATACAGAAAAGGGGGCTTAAAATTATTAATTTATTACAAAGAACGAGAAAGAGAGAGAGGAGAAACTGGCAACTTTCGTACTTTGTATAACATCGACAAACCTCTATGGAGGTAATTAAAACTAGGGTAGAAAACCTGGCCTCTGAAGATTAAAGAGTTCAATGATGGGTTGGGGGGGAGGGGGTTAGAATGAAGAGAGAGAAATCACTAACCTCGTAAAGAGACGAAGGGGTTACAAACGCTTAGTAAAGACAACAAGGGAATGCAAGCACCTACAAAGAAAGCAAGTGGAAAAACCCAATAATCATAAATAAAAGTGAGCTTAAAGAGACAGACTCAGATACTCGAACTTTGAAATCCCCACCCAAAAAACAGACAAGAAGTTTTTGAAAGATACCCTTTGAGAAGGGAAGCCTTAACAGAAAAGAAAGAAAGCGTTATCAGAGGACAAGAAAGTGATAAAAAATAAAGCTAGAGATGATTCTCAACATGGAGAAATAACAGACAAAGAAAGAACTAACGTGAGAGAGAGATGAATCACAGGATAGAGGATTGGAGACCACCGTTTAGAGAGCGACTAGGTTTTATAGATAGAAGGACGAATCCCCTTTTAAAACCCTAAAAAGAGAAGAGAAGTGAAGCGAGGGAATTGAATTAGAGGCCCATTAATGGGATCAAGGAAATATCCTCTGGTAAACAAAGCATCGAGGAAACAAACCTGGCCGGAAAGAAAATAAACAAAGCAAAACGAAAGAGAAGGAGAAAATTGACTGCCTCTTGGACTTGGTAAGTATATACGAATATAATATGTCTTTTCTTTTCTGGCTAGCTTTTTTCCTCGACTGTATAATATACGATCAGTTTTACACAGTCAGGGAAGAAAGCTTGCCCAAAAAGAAAAGACTTTATATTCGTATATATTTCCCAAGTCCAAGAGGCAGTCAATTTTCTCCTTCTCTTTCGTTTTGCTTTGTTTATTTTATTCTTGGCCAGGTTTGTTTCTTCGATGCTTTGTTGACCAGAGGATATTTCCTTGATCCCATTAATGGGCATCTGATTCAATTCCCTCGCTTCTCTTTCTTTTTGGGTTTTAAAAGGGGATTCATCCTTCTCTCATAAAGCCGCATCTCTCTCTAAACGGTGGTATCCAATCTTCTATCCTACGATTCATCTCTCTCTCTCGTCAGTTCTTTCTTCGTCTGTTATTTCTCCTTGTTGAGAATCATCTCTAGCTTTATTTTTTATCGTTTCCTTGTCCTCTGATAACGTTATCTTTCTTTTTTTGTTAAGGCTTCCCTTCTCAAAGCGTATCTTTCAAAGACTTATTGTCTGTTTTTTGGGTGGGGATTTCAGAGTTCGAGTATCTGAGTCTCTCTCTTTAAGCTCACTTTTATTTATGATTATTGGGTTTTCCCACTTGCTTTCTTTGCATGTGCTTGCATTCCCTTGCTGTCTTTACTAAGCGTTTGCAACCCCTTGGTCTCTTTACAAGGTTAGTGATTTTTCTCTCTTCATTCTAATCCTCCCCCCCGCCCACCCACCCAACCCATCATTGAACTCTTTAATCTTCGGAGGCCTGGTTTTCTACCCTAGTTTTAATTGCTTCCATAGAGGTTTGTCGATGTTATACAAAGTAGGAAAGCTGCCAGTTTCTCCTCTCTCTCATTCTAGTTCTTTGTGCTAAATTAATAATTTTGAGCCCCCTTTTCTTTATCTTTTCTCCTGTGCACTGCTAACTCAAATTACTCATGATTTTTTTTAATGTATTGTCAATTGATGTTTTTCGAGGTTTTGAAGTTGTTTTTGCGTGTTCTCTGCACTTTCACAGATCACCCGTTTAAAGTTTTTATCGAGAATACAAGTTTCTCAATGTGTGTATGGTTAATGTTTGAAGGATTTCCATGAGTTTTAACAAACAAAATAATTGAGTTTTATAAGGTGGCCAGTTTCTTGAGTTAGTTGGCTGGGCAATATTAAGTCGTTTATGTGCTATATTTCATGGATTTTCTTTTGAGTTAGTTGGCTGGGCAATATTAAGCCGTTTATGTGCTATATTTCATTGGATTTTCTTGTATACGGACTTTTTTAGGTCCTATTGTGGCATTGGATTAAATAATCTGCTAGGGGCTGTGATCATACTCTTAACAGTTGTTATGGGTTACCTTAATCTGTGGAAAAAAAGGTGGTGCCATATGATTGGATTCACGGAGATTGGGAAGGTCTTATAATTTTGTGTTTTAATATTTGAGTTTATGTTTTTATGGGTTTATGTTCAGTATGATTGTGACTGATTTAGTTTGGGCTTTGATTTTTTCAGTTGGAATTGGATGGTTCTATATTAAAATCTTGGTGATATTTTGACATATTATCAACTAGGGGTCTACTTGAATTCCATATTTGTCACTAATATATGTGACTTATTTGAAGTAGTTCCAACTTTTGGGTGTGAGTTTAGCATTCCAGTGAATTTGAATGTGTCTTTTAATCATCTTCTGGATTCTTTCATTGTACATATTCAATGTACATTTTGCTGCGTGCATACTATGAATGAAATGAAATGCTCCATTGCAATTACATGCTTGTTTAGATGTTACTCCTTATTCACAATTTCAATAAAAATTAATCTAGATAATGAATTAGCTGTCTTTGGTAGTGTCCATCACACAATTATTTGATAAAAACTTATAGGCAGTTTTGCAGATAAATGTACATTTTTTAAAGTTTGTTTTGCTTTATTCATAGTAATTTGCTAAAAAATCAAATGTTTTTGGTCAAACATAGCTGAAAATAGCTAGAAATCACTGAAAGAGTTTAATAAAGTAATATTATACATAAGGCAAGATACATATCATATAGCTAACAAGATAATATTATCCAGCATGTATTAGTTTTGGATAAGATTGTCTATTCCAGATGAAATTAATTTTCAATCCAAACAGGCCTGTACTATATATGATGGATAATGCTTTGCCATATATTTTAGATGGTAATGTGACCTTTTGGTTTCTTTCCTGTCGTTGTACAACTAAAGCATTTCTACTGCTTATGATTGCCATATTGATTTTGTTAAGAATCTTTTACCCTTAACTTGTCACATATGTTAATGGTGATTTTGTGTCAATTTTTAATGGCAGGTTGACCTGTGGTGTGCTATTATTAGAAGGGATTAACAAGAGTCACCATAATGGCTACAAGTAAGTATTTGATGTGGTTGCTTGCTGATTCTTCTTGTCTATGTAGTTTATTATGTATTCTTTACAGTATAGATATACGTAGGAAACAATGCATGTATGAATCATCATCATTTGAGCCTTATCCCAATTATTTGAGGTCGGCTACACGAATCATGTTCCGCCATGAAGCGTCGTAACGTCAGTCAGACCATGATTCATGAAAAATATGGGAAAGTTTTACGCTGGCTGCCCTACCTAACACAACCCTCCTCTTTTATCCAGGCAGCCATGGCAGAGTTACAATAAATGCATAAATGTGCATCATTAAATTTCCAATGATAAGGAAAAAAGAAAAAATATAAAGTTTTTTAGTTGTTAGCCTTGAAAGAAGAGGGCCTCATTGGGTGCACAAAGCACCATGTCTTCAATCAAAGAAGCTGTAGAGCCTTGAAGCATTGGTCAGAGTTTTATTTTCATTTTCTAAAGACTTTTATCTAGCCAAAAGGCCATATCCCAAAAGCTGAATTATTTGGTTTCATTTCTTGAGAATCTTGAATAGAACACTAAACAATTGCCATATTAGTAACACCCAAAACACCCCTTGCAAAACCTCCGCCTTCCCACCAAAAAAAAAAAAGTCTCTCAAAAAACAACAGAGTATGAAACAACTGATTTATTTTATATGATGTGATGGAGGACCAAACAGATTGGCTTCTACATATGTATTACAAAGCTTTGGTGGGCTGAGCATTATAGGTTTTAAGAATATGCGGTTGCAAACGAGGTTACCATTATATAATGATACTTAGTTTTTGATGGGCAGCTAGGTTTTGGATATGAGAAATAAGTTTAGGGGTTGTAGATGATTTAAGATTTAATGCCAATGTAGATGTCATGATGGTTTGAGAAAGTTCAAATGTTTAATGCAGAGAAGGTATGGTTAGGGTCTAGAGGGGTTTGGATGGTTGTAGTCGGTGTAGCTGATTTTGGTGCTTTAAATTAAGGGTTGAAGTTGATGGCTAAGAAGAATGGAAGATGGGATGTGGCCTTCTATGGTGGGATGTGGCCTTCTATGGTGACTGGTTTGATGATGATGGTGGTGTGGGATTAATTAGGGTTTGACGATTAATTGTATGGATGTGAATCTTTATTGATGAAGTAAGAAAACTGCCTTGGGAGTAATGGCTGGTTTTGATGACAGGCCTTGTGATGAAAAGGTGATGCATATGACATTCCTGGTTTAGGTTGAAGAAGGGGATGACCTAAAAGCAACGTCCTTTTGCTTGCAAATAGCCTTCCTAGAACCTGAGCGCTCTTCCAGTTTGAATGCTTGTTGAGCTTCGTGTTCTCGGTTTATCTAGAACTTATTTCAAAAGCAGATGCAGAGTTGGATTTGCCTAGGATAGGAGATTCAAAGAACCACAACCACTAGGGTTAAATTAGAACTTTACAGAATAAATACTCTCATGGACATAGGGGTTTACAATGAGGGCTCGGTGGATATATATATAGAGAGAGAGGAACTAGGAGCTTGGAGGATGATAGTGATAGAGAGGGCAAAGAGACAGGTCTTTGTGGGTAGAGAGAGGATAAATTCTTTTTAAATGTTTTTTAAAACAAGGCATATTTAAGTCCAAAATATGTTTGATATCCTTTTGAGTGGGTTAGTTGTCTGAAAAGTTGGAACTTGGGGAGTTTTCGATTGCAAGAAGAGGTTTAGTTTGTAGTGTAGATATAAATATAAGTTTGGGGGGTCCTATTCACCCATGGAGATGCAACATGGATCACTACAAATGTATATTATGTAGTATGATGTAGCATTTGCTATCATTCATGTGTGGTGCACTGCATTATGCCATGGAGTATTACCTTGTATTGCATGCACATTCAATGCAGTTTCACATGCCATGGAGTATGGCTTACATGTTGCATGTGTGCCATGCATCGCAGCATAACATGGAGTATGGAGTACTTTGCATGGCTCATGCATATCGTGCAGCACTGTATTTCATGAAGCATGCATGTCATGTGCTACATCCTTATACAAATATCATCCCTTTTATGTTCCATCATTTTCATGCTATCATAACAACCATCAACCCTCTTATGGTTCTGTTATATTTTACTAGTCTTAGTTGTGCAGGTTTCCTTATTGTACTTATTGTTTTGGTTTCCTATTTGTTTGAATTTCATTTATGTTAGTGGAGTTCTGATCCATCTTGTAGTCCAAGTAAATCAGGATTTAGAGGACTAGCATTAATACATTGAAGGGGCCTATGTCTAGACTCCAGACAATGATTTGAATGATAAAATTTGCCTTCTTGCACACTTAGATAGTATTGACCCTCTGTCTCGTTGATTCCACAAATCACAGTTAGTGCTGATTCTGTGAAACCTTAATTTTGGATGGTGCAGATATCATACAATTTTTTAGTTAGTATCCATATTTGTAGTATTATATTGATTTATAGAAGTCTTGGCCTTTCCTCTATGTTTCATTTATCTTCAACCGTACTTTTCCATCTATTCATGCCAAGCCTCAACGAGCCACATCTCACTGCACTACCATATTCCAATCAGACCCTAATGCATCATAACCCTAACTTCATTAACCTAGTCGTGTGTCCGATCCAATTCCATCTGTTTCGTCTTCTTAATCACAACTTAATTCAAACTGTACCCTAATTCTTCTTAAATCTTAAATTTTGAAACTCGTCAACTGTAGTCCACTAAACCCTACATATGGCTAATCCTTTTTCCTACATTCATGTGTGGCTTTGAAGTCATCCACATTTGAAGGTATTCTTGGTTTTAATAACTTCCAAATATCATCTTATTCACTTTGGTTCTTAGGCTTGAAGGTTAATGGATAATGAGATGCTTATATTTTGAAAAAAAAAAAAACTATAGGAACAAACACACATTTCCTGCCTTGTTCATGAAATTGTGTGGTTTGCCACACAGACATTTCAAAGAAGTATGCCATTAGTTCCAACAATGTAGGAAGGAGAAATCTTCAGGTTCAGAATTTCTGTCACAGTGCCTTTCATTGCGTAGCTTGGTAATTTTTAATGTTGTTTCCCCTCAAATAATTCGGTAGGTAGGTGTATTTCTCTTTGATTGTTTCTATTAGTGAATAACTTTGTTTCATTTTGTTGCAGGACTTATGTTTGAGAATTCTTGTGAAGTTGGAGTATTTTCAAAACTAACAAATGCATATTGTTTGGTGGGAATCGGAGGGTCAGAAAACTTTTACAGGTTGGCTTTTTAGAAACATACAGCAGTCATTAAAATGGAGAACTTATGGACCTTATTAAGATTCAAACATACAGTATAATATGAAATTCACATACTTATTGCTTTACTTGAGTTTTATGTTCTTGGTGGTCATGGAATATGCTAATTGTTGGGCCACCTGTTGCAGCACATTTGAAGCAGAATTAGCAGATGTCATTCCTGTGGTTAAAACATCCATTTCAGGCACAAGAATAATTGGACGGCTTTGTGTGGGTAAGTTAGTCATCTCATATGTCTAAAAAAGTGGTCATGAATATTTGTTTCACATGTTGGGATATGACAAGTCTTACATTTTTATATTAGGTAACAAGAAGGGGCTTCTCTTGCCACACAACACCACGGATCAAGGTAAGCTTGTGCTATCATTTTTTTTTCTGCTTGTTTTTCTCTTTGTATTATTGAAATCACCTTATAATTTGAATGATTCTTTTGGGTGAAGTGTGAACCCATGAATTCTTAGTGAACTGTGAACACATGAATTCTTTGAAGACCTTTACTAATTCTGATAATTTGTTATTTTAATTTCATTTTTCTTAATATATGGTGCTTTGCCCTATAGAACATATTTGGCTGGTGTTAATATGCAGTCTCTCTCTCTCTCTCTTACACACACACATGCGGGCATGCAGAGCGGCATGCAATTTCCTATGCAGCAGTGGTACAATGGCTGCAACAACAGAATTACTTCATCTAAGCTAGGCAATAACGATAAAACTTTTGTCATCATGATAATCATAGTCCTTGTTAAGGTAAGCATAAGCCTTGGTCTTCCCTATTGATGCAGATAAAAGTTATGAAAAAATTCAAAATTATTATTTTATTATTATTATTATTATTATTAATATTAATTATTGTCATTTAAGAATTAGTTATGATTGGAAGTTTCCAATTTTAGGGTTGACAATGGGTATTACTTGTTTACTTGATAAGGCTCATGGGTGGGGTCGGTGAGGGTTAACGTAACTTAAAATGGGAAAGTTCTACTTTCATGGACTTAGGAGATCTAGTTATAGATTTATGAGGCCTCACATTGAGAGAAGAAGAGATTGAGATGAAGAAGAGATTTGAATAAGAATTGAGAGATTTAAAGGATTTAGATTTGGAGAGGAAATAGAGAGATTGATGTGAGTGAGGAAATAAGGAGAAAAAGATTTATGTGGAAGTTAGAAAGAGATAAGGGAAAGGTGGTGCTTGACTTTAAGAGAGTGTATTTTTTTGTGGATTATTATTATTTATTATTTTTTTCTAAGTGTATTTAAAGGGGGAGATGTCCCTTCTTTGGAGAAAATAATTGGTGGTTTAGTAAAAAGTTGATTTTGTGAAAAGATCTTTTGAGGTGAATTCCCTTGCAGACCCTGAGAAAGGGCATATTATCTCACCTGTTATTAGTATTTTTATTTTAATTATTTCTTCCCTCCATATTCCTTGCATCAATTGGTATGAGAGCAAAGCTAATCCTGTTATGGATGATCACCAAGGACAAGATTTAGAAAATTTGATCAAAGTCATTGATTAATTTTTGTGAAATGAATTAGTGGCTACAACATTTTGAAAATACTATTATTCGAGAAGAGGGTGATCGCAACCACATTGATCTTTGCACCAGTAGCCTCATGACAAACCCAGGGTGTTGATCTCGATCATAATGCAGAAATTTAGCTGACAAGATCCACATCTTATGGAGCATCCACATGATCTTGGTATTCAGCTCGATTTCCCAAGTTTTACGAGGAACTTAAAAATAAAAAAAAATCATGATTGAGCCTGAGATCCCAGTGTCCTATTTCGAGATAAGCACAAAGTATTAAGCACGAAGCATTTGATGAATCGGTTTATTAAAGAAAGAGTATCGAGGCATTTGGTGTGACTATATTACTAATTATTCGAGTGGCCTTTGAAGGATGTAAGCTCGAGGTTGAGCTTCTCCCAACGCCGAGAGAATGATGTAAATAAAAATTAGGAAAAATTCAAAATTATAATTTTTTGTTTAGGAATTGGTTAGGATAGAAAGTTTCCAATAATCCAATGTTTAAAGTTGACAATGGATATTCCTTGTTTACTTGATAAGGCTCATCGGTAAGGGTTAACGTGACTTAAAATGAGAAAGTTCTATTTTCATGGATTTAGGAAATTTAGTTAAAGATTTATGGGGCCTCACGTTGGGAGAAGAGATTTGAATAAGAATTGAGAGATTTAAGGGATTTAGATTTGGAAGGAAATATGGAGATAGATGTGAGAAATGAAGTAGGGATAAAGAGATTTACGTGGAAGTTAGAGAGAGAGATAAGGGAAACATGGTGCATGACTTTTAGAGAGTTTTTTTTTTGGTGGGTTTATTTATTCTTTCTTCTAAGCGTATTTAAAGGGGAGATGTCATTTCTTTAAAGAAGAGAATTAGTGATTAAGTAAAAAGTTGATCTTGTAAAAATATCTTTTGGGGTGGATTCCCTTGCAAGCCCTGAGAGAGGGTTTATTCTCTCACCATTATTATTGTTTTTATTTTAATTATTTTTTCCCTATATATACCCTCTAATTGGGGAATACGGAGGGAAGAAATAATTAAAATAAAAACAATAATATAGGGTGAGAGAATAAACCCTCTCTCAAGGTCTGAAAGAGAATCTAACCCATAAAATATTTTCATAGGATCAATTTTTTACTTTACCGCCAATTGTCTTTTTCCAAAGAAGGGACATCTCCCCTATAAATACACTTAGAAGAAAGAAAAATAAATAATAAAAAACACAAAAAATAAACTCTTTCTCGTCATGCACCAGCTTTCTCATATCTCTCTCTTAACTTCCACATTAATCTTTCTCCCCCCACTTCCTCTCTCACGTCTATTTCCCTATTTCCTCTCCAAATCTAAATCCCTTAAATCTCTCAATTCTTATTCAAATCTCTTCTCCCAACGTGAGGCCCCATAAATTTCTAACTAAATCTCCTAAGTCCATGAAAATAGAACTTTCCCATTTTAAGCCATGTTAACCCTTACCCATGAGCCTTATCAAGTAAACAAGGAATACCCATTGTCAATCCTAAAAATGGGAAACTTCCTATCCTAAATTATTCCTAAATAAAAATAACTAAGAAATAATAAAATTATAATTTTGAAATTTTTCTAATTTTTTTTCTCCCGAAGTTGGGAGAAGCTCGAACTCGAGCACTCATCCTTTAGAATGCCAATTGGTGATGCAGTCCCACCATGCGTCTTGGTACTTCTCTTCAATAAACCAATTCATCAAGTACTTCGCGATTATCTCGAAGTAGAACACTAGGATTTCAGGCTCAATCGTTATTTCTTTTTATTTTTGAAGTTCCTCATAAAACTTGGGAAAATCAAGCTGAATACCAAGATTATGTGGATGCTCCATAGGACGTGGATCTTGTTTGTAAATTTTTCATTACGATCGGGATTAGCACCCTGGGTTTGTTGTGGGATTACTAGTGTAAGATTGATGTGGGTGCGATAACCATTTTCTCGAAAAATTGTATTCTCCAATCGTTGTAATCGTTGATTCATTTCACGAAATTCGGTTCGAACATCCTCTATGACTTAGGTACAATTTTTTAAAACTTGTCCTAGGATCATTCATTGTAGGATTAGCTTTGCTCGCATGCCAACTGAAGCATGGTATATGGAGGGAAGAAATTATTAAAATAAAAATACTGATAAAGAATGATAGAATATATCCTCTTTCAGGGTCTGTAAGGGAATCCACCCCAAATGATAGTTTCACAATATCAACTTCTTACTCAATCACCAATTCTCTTCTCCAAAAGGGACTTCTCCCTTTTTAATACACTTAGAAGAAAGAAAAAACAACTAAATAAAAAAATCCCACAAAAAATAAACTCTCTTTCTCTAAGTCACGCACAACTTTTCCCTTATATATATCTCTATCTGACTTCCACGTAAATCTCTTTGTCCTATTTCCTCTCTCACGTCTACCTTCCTATTTCCTCTCTAATCTAAATCTCTAAATTCTTATTCAAATTTTTTCTCCCTCATAATCTCTTCTTCTCCCAACGTGAGGCCTCACAAATCTTTAACTAAATCTCTTAAGTCCATAAAACAAGAACTTTCTCATTTCAACCAGCATGTTACCCATGAGCCCATGAGCAAGTAACTAGAAATACCCATTGTCAACCATAAAAATTGGAAACTTTAGATCTTAACCAATTCCTAAAGAAAAATAACTCAAAAAATAATAAACTATAATTTTGAATTTTGCCTAATTTTTATCTGCATCACTTATACTCCTGCATCTAAACAATGTGCCTTTGAATTTATCTAGCAATAACATACAAGGGTCAAGAGAAGCTACTACTAGGAAAAATTATGGACACTCAAATCAAGAGCCTAACTTTTGGCCCTTTACGAGTTCGCTAAACCAGTCCAACTATTTCACTTTGTTCATTTGAATGATGCTACCATTCTCTGAGCTCTTATATTTGACGAAGTTTTCCCAATAGAGCCTAGATTTAGTTCTAACAATAAAAAATATAATAGGAGAGTCCAGCTTTTAGTTCCCTTGATACGGAGATATCCAATCCACCATCCATTGGGGCCATTTTAACTATCAAAGAAATGAAAGAGAGTATCTTTGGAACTTATCCAAAAAAAAAAGGACTACTTTTTTTCGGCCTTATTGCCAAGCTTTGTTTGGTCCTCCAATTGTCTTTTTAAGTGGGTTAGATGCTGTATCTTGTTATTCTATACTCTAGTTGTTTTCAGGATTGTACCGGTCTGCATGCATTCTAGAACATTTTGATGGGAGTCACTTTACTGGCATTTTCCATATTGTATGTATGTTGACACAAAAATAGTTATGTTCAAGCACATCGATGAATGTAAACCATCTTGACAAGTCAGTAGTGGACTTGGGACTCATGCATGTCACAAGCGGCTCTACTGGACCTTTAAATAAATTTCTTCCTGGATTCCTTTATATTCTTTTCTTTTTTTAATGTAAAAAATTCTCATGGACCCAAAGAGTCGGCTTGGGATGCTGGGAGTCAACTTGGCACTAGACTGTGACTCCTGAGCAGTGTTCAAGTCTTAATGCTAGACAGCTTGTGTAAATTTTATGCATCTGTTACTTGTAAATACTGAATATATTGAGGCACATGTTCAATTACATCTTAAACTCTAGATTCAGTTTAGAGGGTGTGCGAAGCTGCTTCAAGGAGGATTCACAGAGACTTGTCACCTATTAAGTGTATTGGTTAGGGAATTCCTTTGTTTATATATGATTGATTAGCTTTTTTCTATACAACACTTGTCAATGTGGTTTATGTTTTGTATCTAGATATCATGTCTAATAGTAATAATTTTCTGTCCTTGAAGTTATGTTCAGTTGTATATAAAATATATATATTTTTTTGTCAATTGTGTACAGGTTGAACCTACAAAGTACCCCCCTCCCTCCCCATAAAAGAAGATCACTTATAGCATACAATTTTTCTAGATAACTTCCTTCTTCATAAATAACTTGTGCACTGTGTTTGACATCTCACTTTGTGTTGTCGCTGTCCATAGAGCTCTATCATTTGAGGAACAGTTTGCCTGATCAAGTGGTTGTTCAGCGCATTGACGAGCGATTATCAGCATTGGGAAATTGTATAGTTTGCAATGACCATGTTGCTCTTGCACATACCGATCTAGACAAGGTATGCTCATTCCACCCAGGGGAAACTCTAGATTTCTTCTATTTGCACATTGAATTCTTGTAATTGCTAGATAACTAGGACGGTCCACTGTACATTTCGCCTCTCAAAAATGTTCACATCAGGTTGGATGGTTGCTATGGTTTTATTTCAATCTTTTGATTAACTTATTGATTCCCTTTACAGTTTGACATTCATGGCCTGGTTAGTTAAATGATTCTATATATGCTATATTGCTTTTCTATGTATGAAAATGTGCCAATTACAAATCCTTATGGGGCTCTAAGTGGATTATCAATGTCTTGATGAGCTATTTCTTAAATCTCTCCAAATTAATTGGTTGTTTCATTTGTCTTAGAACCATTATATTACTTGTCTTTTTACCCATTGTGCGAGAACAAAAAAGTACATTTCATTACATGCAGGGCTTTTGGTAGTGAAGTTCAAATTGATCAATATGATAAATTTAATTGCTCTGATTTGGTTTATTGTATTTGAGAATTGAATATGCTTTGTATCGCTGACTTAGTTTATACCATACCCATGTGGATTGGATGTATGGTAGGTATCAGCAGTGTAAATAAACCGCATGCATCTTGCTTATGTTGGATAGAGCTAAACAAATAACTAGACAGGAACTTGCCTCTACATATTCCATCTTGGGCTGGAAATCTATTTGATTAGGCGTATCCGTGTGACTTTCGATCTAGAACCAACTATACCTGAGTTTTACTTAAGCCCTCTTGGCTTGATTTTTAGAGAGATGATAGTAAGAGATTAAAGAGAGAGGGAGAGATCTACTACCAAGGGGATGTTCCCCTTTGCTACCCACAAATCAAGACCAATCCCAAGCTAGGTTGTGCCCCTTAGAACCCACAGGAGAGATAAAAAGAAGATAGCTTGGACGTGCCCCCTTGGGATTCAAAGAGAGTAGTTTAGGTTGGGGCATGCCCCCCTCTTAAAACTTAGGGAGAGATATGAAGCCCTAGGTTGGGGAGTGAACCCTTTAGAATTCTTGGAGAGAGAATTCTTAGAGAGAGAAGATAATTGGTGTAAAGATTTGGTAAGGGAGGTGAGTTTTTTTTATAGATTTTTTATGCCTTAAGGTTTGCCATCTTTAGTGGGAGCAAATCTTGACTGTCGATCCAAAGAGACTTGTGGGGTGAGAGATGGGAGTTATTAATTTCTTTGATTCATCATCAAAATTCAAAAGAAGACGCTAGAGCTTTATCCTCCATTCCCTAAATCTATTCCCATCAAATTTTTAAATAGGGAAAATATATCTCTTACTTTTTAATTTAGTAAATCAATTTCTTATTTTTTAAATCAAGCAATCTTGATTCACAAGACTTAATATTTCAAATATTTGATTTTATTGTACAAGTTGGCCTCATCCAAAATTAAAAAGCCAACTTGCAAAGGATAATCATCACCATATTATGCAAGCTTGAATAATCGCTTATGGGTGGGGCGTGCTACCTTTTGGTGGCCTCTCGTGGACTCCACCAAATACCAATTGTGTTAAACGGTCATTCATATTTTATGGAGGGTCCATATAATTTTAGAAAATATTTTATTTTGAATTTAGAATTTTAAATCACATAATTTATTTAAAACATTGAAAAATGACGTTTTTGTAATTTATAAATTCAAATGACAAAAATAAAAAATCAGAAGATTCACAAAAAATTCAAATAAACATTATAAAAATCATATGACATAAAATTAATTAATTTTGATGAGAATTGGATTCGTTTAGGTCTAAGAATTTATCAATGCACTGGAGCACTCCACTTGCAACTACGGACTCCGATCCACCTAGCTTTCTCAAAGTGACCCAGCAGTTCTCATCACCCACAGTCCACTGCAGGGGCTCATAATTGGACCACCAAAGTCAGCCAATCGGCTAGGAGATGCAATCCCTGTGCGTGGATTTCAGGTTCTCCCCTAGAGACAAATCCATGGTCCCCAGACCATGATGTAACCATGATTCTATGGTGCATAGGGACAATCTCTCGCACATTTACACGCTTCTCTCTCAATGGTGGATCACTATCCTAATGCGACTATCTACGTACATGCTGTGTGATGATACAACTATAAGGTTTTAACCCTGTCTCTAAAGGCTATTCATCACACACAAGGGTCATAATCCCTCGGCTCTCATTGGGCATACTCGACCTCACCTTCTCGGTTTTATCTCTATGCCTAGGTACCTTGGGTTTTTCCAACTCAGCTGGCGTAGCATGTTGAGCCTAGTACGAGTATTGACAAATAACATTGCCTAGTATATGGTCTACACGAAGACCACACTTATACTAAGTTTATGTTTCACAATATAAAATGCTCATACAAGCTCTCATGAGGCCACATAAACCCAACATCTCCCACTTGGCCTTTGGAGGCCTTATAATCTCTCTTCCTCACATTCTTATCCCCCCAATCACAATCTCTCACAAGCATTTTTCTCTTATTCTCTCATATTACATTAATCATGGATTTCGCCATCAATTTTTTCACAAAGGATTTATGGAGGCAACGCCTCTTTCTCTTTGCTGCTCTGATCTCATCCCGTATGTGGTTGTAGTTCATCTTTCATGTCGCATCGCGAATCATGGACCTGTTGTCGCAAAAGATCATTACGTACCATCATTGCATGGGGTCATATCTTCAGGGGCTTAAAGCAGTTCTTCAATCAAGTTGGTCCCTTTAGTAGCCGTACAACTAGCGCCATGAATCCGAGTTCCATGGGTGAACAACAATATGTTGTTCTAGTAGGCCTGTCAAACACAAGCTGGTGCTCCCACAGTCCCATTGGAATATTGAGTTTATCTAGATCTTTTATAGCAGGATACCTGTATATATGAATATCCAAGTAGCTAAAAATAATCATGGGATTGTTAACTGCTCTGACTCAAACATAAAAGTATTATCTCAGCATTCTCATACTTGTGTCATGAGATATTATAGCAAGTCTTATGCAAAAATAAATAAATCAATTCCCGTTTTGGTTTCAAAATATTCAAAACCTTCATGAACGACAAAGGTCAACCACACTAGCCTTCTTGGTAGCATACAAGTTATTTAATCGACACAGCATGTGTCTAGGAGACATAGCAAGATAGCCATCCTATGACATATCCTATGGTTCATGGTCTTAGGCAATTGAGGATTCGAAACAACTCAAAACCAAGTCATATAATCGATATTATGAAAACATGAGTCAAGACATTCGGTTATTTAAAAACAATGCATAGATTAATGACATTTTTTCTCAGTACATAAAATACTTTTAAGACCTAATGTTTTTCCTTATATAAAAATTTGACTTGGTATGCTTATTGTTTACAATGCAAATCAGAGAGATCTTCAGACGAAGATCTCTTAGATTTGAACACTACAAACTGATTTTTAAGAAAAGTGATAGAGAATGTGGGAAAATTGAATTCTGGTTTGAGGTCAGATCTACCCAGAAACGAGTGGATCTGCTCTCAGATCAGTGGTAGTGCTAGCATTGATTCGAATGCGAAACACGAAATAAAAGCGATAAAAACTAATCTAACCTAATTAAAATGAAACAAAATAGAAAAGGAAGCAAGGAAGAGTAAAGAAGTATACGAAATCAGGCCAGATGGCCTCGGACTCCCGAGCCTTCGAGGGCCCGCCCATATCAGAACCTGTGTCCTCTCTGCCTCTCTTTTTCCAGATGTTGACTAGGCCATACCCTGGTTGAATGGGTGTGTTGATTAGACCTTAGTCTGGTTGAAAGGGGTTTTCTGCCCTAAGGATAGTTGAAAAACTAGGGTTCAGGGTTTCTCCGGTCAATGGGTAGGGTTTAATCTTCTTTGTCCTAACTCTTTTCTGACCTAATTCAAGAGGAAGCCCCTCAAGTACCCACGAATTTTCATTTTTATAAATTGGGAACTGACTGAAAAGGGCAACTTACCATCACCAGCAAATCCCCTGACTTGAATCTACCATTCTGAGGTCTCGAGTCAATGGTGTCACCAGCAAATCCCCTGACCTGAATCTACCATTCTGAGGTCTCGGGTCAGTGGTGTCCAGCCAAAGTTGGTCAAATTCAGGAAATTTGACCTAAAACAGCTGGGGGACCTTTGCCTTGTAGAAACTACCATTTCCAAGCAGTCAGAGCTTGCTCAGAAACGAAAATTTCTAGTGCAAAGTGGATTCTGGTGCCGTCAAGATGCTGCTTGCAAAAAATCATCTATTTCGGGTCAGTCTAAGCTGAGTGACACTGGTAGTGTCTCCCAAGCCTGGATTGCCCAAAATGGCAGATTCCTGTTCAGGACTGATCAATGAGTTGTCCTGCCAAACTGGGTTGGGCAGATCTAGGGGCGTCGCCCAGTCTGAGTGGGCGGCACTAGTAGTGTCGCCCAGACCAAACCTATTCGAAGTCATAAATTTTCTGATCAGGTTTGATGCATGGCCTCTTGTGATGCTTCTGGAGAAAATTTGGGTAAAAAAGAGTTATTGTACTATTTTTAGTGGTTTTTTTGGTAAAACAGGGTACTTGCAGGATTCTGGGTCATAGGGTAGGCAGTATGGTTCTGGATCATAGGGTTGACAGTATGGACTATGGCAGTTTATGATTTGGGATTCACTAGGATAGTGTGGTCTTAAGGGTTCAAGAAAACCACAAAATTTGTCAGTATTAAAATGGGGTGTCTACAGTTGCCCCTCTATGGCGTAGGCACAATGGTGAGTGGCAAAGAAGTAGACACTTTGGCGTTCCCTGTTCTTCGAGGGGCAGGTAAACGATAAAGATAATGCATACATTTTAAATCTCATTTTGACGTTACATGGTCAGAGGGCATACCAACTAATCCTCCAAGTCATTGTGGTCCTGAGCTTCACTCACTTAGGCCATTTTCATCTTAGGGTATTTGGCGTGAGATGTCGGCTAGTTACACAAAGTTGAAACTCGAGTTGGATTTTCTGGCCATGCCGCTTAACTTCAGGGGTTTTCACTTTTTTTAATTATT